GTATATCATAATGATCGCACTGCAAGTGATGGACGTACCTATCACGGCGAGTCATTCTGTGATGTCGAGGTCACCAACGCCTGTCACTAACGTGTGCTAAGGACGTGTGGAGATCTGAGCCAGAGATGGATACGGTTTTAGATGAAAGAAAAGTACTTAATTAGCAGCTAACAAAAAGAGGAATGATTATCGGGATGATGATGCCAACATGATGGAATCGTCAAACCATGCAGTCAGTCAGCTGCAGATACATACGCAGGCCAAAAAGGCAATATCAAAACAGCTGACGTCTCCTTTTTTCTGCAACACCTCCACGACTGTCTTCGTCAAGTAGAAGCCAATCATCAAGCGCTCGGCTACACCATGAAGCAAGAATGGCGGTGCTGAATCAAAACTAATGTTGAAATCCTTCAGCAGGTTTGAAGGGGTAGGCCTGACAAATGAGGTATGGAGATGCTGGAGATTCGTGTTGGTCTTTTTCCCTTTGAGATTGGTCTCCATCCAATACTGGGGTGATTGCTTTGTTTGCATGTTTCAATCTTACATACATGAACGTTCTTACTGAGTGCCTGACTCGATTTTTACTCTAAGCATGGGGAACTCGGTATATGATATTTAACTTATGACCTGCGTTAAGATCCAGTTATTACATGACTATCCAGAGTATTCTGGAATACCATTCAAGGTTTATGTGTCTGAGACACCATTTATGGCTGATACCTACGGTATCAATTGTCATACATGATGAAACTTTCACTTTGAGGAAGCCCCTTCGATTACTCCGGATTGACCCGTGCCGAGCACCGATTCCCATTCATTCTGCCAATCTGCATCAGTCTCAAACCATAATACGGAGAAACCCTTCAGACTAAGGTACGGAGTACAGTGGGCCTAACGTGATGAAATCTATCAAGTGGCACGCCTGTCAGCCTGAAGGATGACGATTTTCTGGATTTTCCTAGAATCTGACTTTTGACAGGCTCAAAGAATGGTGCTAGTGGGATCCCTTTGACAAATACCACGAGATGAAGCGATCTTGAGTTTTGGGGGCTGTTTTGACTTTCAGTCTATCCGTGACTTTTCGGTCAGTCAATTTTCATCAATGCTTCTTTGTGGCCTCGGAGTGGACGAGACCAACAAGTCGGATCCGAAACCTGGAGCGTAATTTGCAGACATCGCGGCCTTGTGACATGTCGGGTGCGGGAAGCAATCTCGCAGCAAAACCTAGCTACAAACCTGGAAAGAGATAATGATTGCGCAACGTTGGGAAGCAGGTGAATGTATTTTACCAATGGCTCTCCTTCCCTGCTTAGATCGTCTCATAACTGCATAGATGAGTTGGCAGTTTCTGCAGATTTGTATCTGGACTGCGTGGTTTCTGTATATATGCATGTCTGTGTGACCTAATCTCATTAGACTGTGACCTGAAAAGAAATTTGAACCTTGTCTGATCAACTGAAGACCTGCAGGGGCCACCTGTAAGTATGAATTGTCTTACTTTTTCCTTTTCTCCCTCGTCGTATTATCTACTCTGAGCAAAATCCTCAACTTACAGACCCACTCATATCGCATGCTGCTGTCAAGTGTCAAATTTACGGACCCCCGAACTTGAAGCCAAGTAGGTAAGCCTGGGGCCAGTACGTACACCTGTAACGGGTAAGAACCTAGCTCTGACTGTCGCCTGTCCTTCAGCAATCGGTCTGTGTAATCTGAGACCGAAAGAGCTAGGCGGCATAGAAGGCTTCTTCTGATTGGTTTATTGGTCCCAGTACCACGGTTCACCCTGCAAAGCCACTGCAGGTTGGACTGTTGACTTTACGCTTCCGCATCCAATAAACACTGTTTATTCCGGCCGTTTCTGTTGGTTTTCTTCCCTCCTACTCCGTACCCCCTCCCTGTTACTTTGTATCAGGCTATCAGTACTCTAGGTGTCTGACTTACGAGTCGGCCTACACGGCTGTTGTGCTCGAAGAGGACCTGCAGTGATCCTTTCCTTCACATTCTTATTGCATTGAGGCGATTATGGAAGGATTCTTCAGGCCAGCGGGGACTGACAAGAAGGATCGATCGCTCGGCAATGGTCCGTTAAACGAGTCAATGACACATAGCCAGCCTGGTGTTTGCTAGGATCTGGGTATGATTTGAGAGTCGAGACTCAGCTGAATCAATTTATCTTCTCGAGATTCCATCTCTGTCGATACTGGAAGTCTATCTACTTTTGAAATATGGAGAGTGGGTGGGGCCTGGTGGATCTCACTGCTCTGTTAAGTCTGTTTCCCACACTCCGCGCCGTCCGCGGAGTAGATGCGGAAGCTGGAAGTTGCCCAATGGATAGGTATCCAGATTTCGACTTTGTAAATACGAAGTAGCGAATGGAGGATGAAAGGAAGCGAAAAACTGGATTTCAGTTAACTTGTTGGCAAAATAATACACTTCGCCGACCTCACCCAAGCTCCACATCTTGTGATAAACCTCGTTCCCATTTACTGACCTTAGCATCGTCTGATGTTCCAGAGCCCACTTCGAAGATCGAACCCCTGCAAAAGGTTTGTTTCGGCGACCCTAGGTGGTCAGTGAGGTATTGTTAGTATTGCAGCCACCCATGCTAGCTAGCTTCCTTGGGGCATGAGAAATGAGGACCTATCAGCTCCGGGAAATTGAACCTTCTCATGCAGTGGCAGGGCTGCAGATTGTGTGTGTGTGTGTGTTACGCCGCAATTTCTTCCTGTGTCATTGGCTGGTTCGGGTATGTCTCTCCGTAGGCTGTCTTCAAGTTGGCTGCATCATTTTTTTATTTATTCTATTCCTTTTTTATTTTTTTTTATTTTTTACCCCTCCTAATCTTTTGTTCACGCTAGTCTCTTTTATCCTTTGCTGACTCTTATTTTTGGCTCCCCTCGAACGGCTTGGTTCGGTCGAAATTATCTAAGCACATTATTATCAACCTTCAATGCTCGTGAATCTTAAGCTCCAGAATAATACCTCCAAAATCATGTTTTGATTTTTATTTTTTCATCTTCACCAGCCAATCAACACTCGCTCTGGCATAGGAATATAATTGGATTGGAAAAAGGAGACTGGCATACTCCACCTCATTTGATAACATTCCGTTCTCCAGCGTCAATCGAAGAGTCTACAGACTGCAGACTACAGAGTACATACTGAAGTTGACTTTTCTTCATTCAGCAATAATAAGACCTTAGTGTCGAGGAAGAAGCTATCTGACCTCTATACGAGCAGCTATCTTAGACAGGATCCACAATTGTTGTTCAATGAAGAATCCGTACTCCCTATTTTTTACTGAGAGCTAAACAGCACATCAACGAGGCTGACAGCCCAACCAAACCATTCCCATACTGATCATCTCTCTTCATTACAAATTCTACCGGCCTTCAGATCCTTGTTCCCCTTGACAGTTTTGGCTTTTGCCCCGCGTGTGGCCAAAACCTCCGTTTGGATGATTGTGTCATCTGTGTCAAACACCAGGGTTCATATAGCTGCCCCATCCTGGCCCTGAGCCATATTAAGCTTGTCAATATAGCCGCGAAAGAGAGCACCTTTGTTTACCCTTTCGAGGTTGGCTTCTTTCTGTCTATCGTCAGAAGCAGATCGTCGTCACATCCGAGGGTGTAACTTCGTTTCGTTGTTGACTTCTTTGTTGCGGCTCTCCACCGTACAGTAGTAAGTACTCGTCTATGCTTCGGATATCCCTCACCAAAGGAGTAGATGTGCTAGACCTGCTCTTCTTCTCTCATTTTGCTGTTGTTAAACCGAGAGAAAAAAGAAGGGAAATAAAATAAAATAAAATAAATCAAGGGAGACCGTTCTGAAAAGGAAAAGATTGGAAAAAGAAAAATAAACGAGGAGGAAAAAAAAAAGAATGATAAAGTACCCCAATCCGCCAGAGACAATAATAATCATTCCTGCACGTCTTTCTACCAACGTGACCCTGTCTCTCTTAGCATTGAGATCTCCACTCTTTCCAGCCTGTTGTTTAACGTCTAATCTGTTGAAGTACTGCTATCTGCATCTGGACTTTGCTGTTTCGTGGAGGTTGTGGCAAATTCTTCTTCTTCCTTCCGCATCTTCAAGCCCGATATCCTTGCATGAAGGGGAGTGCAAGAAAGGGACAGCCATTCGAACATTCACACATACGTACATACCATACATACCTCATAGAGGAGGGGGCTACGGTGATATTATACCCATTGTCCAACTCTCTGTGTCTGTGTCTGGCACATTCCAAGGTTCCAATTTTATTTCAAGTGTCTCTTCTCCCTTGTTACAACACCATCACACCACCACTTCTGCCTGCACCTGTTTAATTTCGACTTTGCCCCCTGTTCTGGCGCTACGCATCACTCCGACAAGGACCGTCCATCCAGCACCATCACGTACCCGCCGGAGGAAACCACCCTCTCCACGGCCGGACACTACAGGGGCGCAGTCGGGGTCTCTTACAGGCCGGTGTGTTCCAAGGACTCGGTACGCTGCATGGGTTAGGAACGACTAACCCGACACTTGGCGGCCAGTAACCTCATTTAAGAGTCCAACCAGGAGACTCGTCTGCTGTTGGGGATGCTCTGAGAAGAAAAAATATTGTTCGCAATATTACTTCTCTTGTCGCCCATCCTTCTTTGTGTCCTCCCTGGCTGTGTTCGACTTTTGCAACTCACAGGCAGTTTCCTAAAACAAAAGGCGCCAAACTGCATAGTGGCTGAGAGACATATACCAGAGGCCTCACAGTCTATCTCTATCAGCCCTTGTGATTCAGTGCCTGAGGTTCTCAGATACTGAACCCAACAGCCAACACATCGTCCCACCTCATCTATTCCGTCCATTTTAAGAGGAAAAAGGTGCCATCACCTGCATCTTGATCACCTCCAACCTTGCTGCCATCGGCGGTTGTCTCCTCGCATATACTGTTGTTCTTCTCTTTGCCCCCTCACCTCCAACCACGATCATCACTCCTCAGACGCAAGCATTCTCCACCAGACGAAATGGATTCGCGAACTAGCTACCTGCCCTCGTCTCGCCAGAGTCGAATGGCCATCGATTCCTTGTTGAATCCATCGGCCGACAACGACCCAACGGACAACCGGCTACATCATTCATTCTCAAGCCAGCAATACTCGCCACACTACCCTCCAAGTCCCAACCGCTACTACTACTCCCGTTATGGGGAGAGCCACGCCTATCCAGACACCCCGGGCTCGTCTCAGGACCAAATGTTTTTGTCGTATCGGCCTAGATCGGCCGAGTCTTCACCAGATCCTTATTCTCGGGACCGGTACGACTCCGTCTCCAGCAGTTCCAGTAATGCCGCCGAACGGCGTCGGCCTCCCCGGCCCAAGTACGAAGAAGAAGAGATGTACTTCATCTGGTACCACCGTGTCGACCTCTGCCAGGAGTGGAAGGAGGTGCGCGAGAACTTCAACCGCCAATTTCCCAACCGCCAACGGCGCGGGTTTCAGGGAATCCAGTGCAAGTTCTACAGATTCATCAAGGAGAAGAAATGTCCCACGCTGCGCGAGCAGCGAAGAATGCGGGACGGCGAGTTCCTGCGGGAGGGTTCAACCATGATCGACTCGGGAGCTCCACGATTTGGAGTTGTGGAATGGGCCCAAGTGTGGTATCCATGGATGCGAGAACCAAAGGAGCAAGTGCTTGGTCGGCGGATATCCGCATAACCATTTGCATTTGTTTCAACTTCGCTTTGCAATTCTTTTCTTTTTTTTTTTTTTTTTTTTTGCCTTTTCGGTTTCTTTCTTTTTCACGGCCGCACCACAAGCAAGATACCTCTTGAAGTTTATTCTCTTTCTACATGTGGAGGTTTCCGTCATCGTTTCTATTTCTCTTCTCTTTCACCGTGTGATTTTCCAAGATTTAAGAGCACGGTCATGCCGTTAATGGTTGGGAGGCTTTCTGGATTAGCACTGCATTCTAATAGCTCGCTGTCCTGACAGCTTGAGCTTTCCGATGATGGCTTAAGATTATAATACATCGTCCTGGTTCATCAGTATGATACAGTACAATACGTAATTTTCCCCACGGGGTCCTGCCAGCTACAAAGGCTGTCCACCATAACTACAGCATAAGCAAATAAGCAGCCGTTAAGAGATCGCAATTCTAGTAAAATGCAGAGCATTCATCCTGTTCTTATCCTCTGTCCTATGCAGACCACTCAGTGCCAGCTGCGAGCTCTCTGCAAGCTCGCCCGGATAACCACCTCAATTCCAACCCCAACTAAGGCAAAGGCACCGTAGACCGCGTAGCAGCTGATAGTGACAATCAGTAACCTAACCATGTGACATACCACCGATTAGAACCGAGATGGCCACGCTCAGTACTTCAACAAATGCAATGGTACGATGTAAGTATGTTTGACTTTGGTCGAATTCGCAATCCGCTTGACATGACATGGCATGATAATCATGTTCATGATCAGGGACCCCCGCATCTCCATCTCGTACTCTATCACCTCGTATTCAATGTTGCCTTGGGGCTGGTGACGTTGACGTCGGCGTTGACGTTGTTGGGTGCTGATATTGATGTGCCGTCGTGGAGATTGTTGTTTCGGGGTGATTGATCAGCTTCGGGATTTTCGTCTGCTAATGCCGGTTGTCACTTGCTCACGGGCTAGCTACGTGCTTAGCTGAAGAGAAGTGGGGGGCCTGTGTACTGGCTGGCTGGCTGGCACTGACGCTACGGTGATGCTCATGCTCATGCTGATGCTGATGCTCATGCAGATACGATAGTATGATTTGTTTTCTTTACAGTTTTGGATTTTGGGTTTTCCCCGAGGTCACCGGGTCTTGGTATTTGGGGGCTATTTTCGCCGTAGGTCGACGATGAAGAGGATGATCGTTATCTCGACCAGACAGATTGCGTTCCCGGACACCAAGCAAGCAAGTCATCTTGAAATCAACTGGAAGCTGCAGAATGCAGCCACCCGATTCTGGGAGGGCGTCACTTGTCAGAATAGCTACCACCGTCGCATTCGATCGTGATTGGGACCGTCGCCGTCCAGGCTGTCCTCGTCAGAATCCACGTGCGAGTCGAGCCCGAATCCAAATCCAACTCCAACTCCAACTCCAACCCGGCCTGCGCGCCGCCCCTCATTTGCTGAATCCGCAGAGTCGAATTCCTCGTCGTCAGACGCGCCATGAGTTCGATATTTGTGGTAGATGGCTGTGGGGTCGTCTTCTTCATCGTCCCACGACAGGTCCTCGTCCGGATAGTCGTTTGCGGGGTTGTTTTCGGCTGTATGCGTCAAGATGGGTTAGCACAGTGCATGCAGAGAGGTTGGACGGGTGGACTGAGCATACCATTCGAATCTGCGTCCTCGCTATCCCACTCTTCATCCTCGTCGTCCTCTGCAAAATGTTCCCAGTACTCTTCGTCCTCTTGCGTAATGACAATGACTCCAATATCCTGACGAGTGGTATCAATTCCATTCTGTTGGAACCACTTTTCGTGGGCCGTTTCGGGATCGGTCAGCGGGTTCGTAAGGAGCGTCCCTTCTGGCAGTGGTCGTCGAATGTAAGTATCGTAGACATACTCGCCGTCACTGTCGTCCTCTTGCACCACGGCTTCGACCGGTGGCTGGACGTCGGGAATTGCTGGAACGCTCGTTTCCCGCGGCGTCGTCCCTCGAGGTTTATTAGGTGTGCGCGGCTGGTACTTCAACGGAGGCTTGGGGACAGTAGGACGTGCTGTCGGCTGCGCTACTGGCTGCTGCGCCGACGGTTCCGTCTCCATACCTCCCTCCAGCTCCAGGGCAATCTGCTCAAACTCGCGAGCCAGCCGTTCCGACTCATCCTCCCAGTTACTCTTGCGAGCATGCGCCTCCTTCTCCAGCACCTGCGTGATGTGCTCCTTCGCAGCGGAGATGGCAGTCTTCCGCTCCTCTCTCCATTTCCTCTCCGCCTGATTGACCACAGGCCGTTTCCTGGGCCGGGCAGGCTCCGGCTCCGGCTCCGGCTCCAGCTCCGGGACACTCACACCGCGGACCTCCCCCTCCGCCGTCGCAGCCTGCGCCGCCGCATCAGCTACCAACGACGCCTGCCTCGAATGCGGAGTCCGCCGTAACTTTTCCACCAGCACTGCGACCGCCCCGTCCCCTCGCCGCTTCTGCACGCCGCCACCCGCGCTCCGCAGAACATTCACAGGCGTATTGGACCTGGAAATCTGGAACCGACGAACAGAGCGCGGCGACGCGGAAACCGGACTCTCCCTCCCGCTCGACGCAGAAGATTCCCGCGCCCCGTCAACAGTAGTAGAGCCCACTAGATCCGTACCCGCCACCCCACTCGACGAATGCAGTGCGCGGTGTAGCTTCTCCTCCGCTGCCTTGCGCACAGCAGCGAGGCGCTGCTCCTCCCGAAACTCAGCCCCAGGGGAAGTAGCTCGAACCAGTGGGACGGTCGCGCCGACGCCCGCCCCTGGACCCGAAGGACGAGCAGCACCTCTGGAAGCTGGAAACGCAGAGCTACTCACAGACCTAGGGGTGAGCAGTGTGCGTGACGGTGCAGCCAGGGATGCAGGGCTTGAGGAGCCGCTGTCCCGAGCATTGCCACTGACCTGGACCCGCTGGAAGACAAAGTCCGTAAAACGCCGCTTGGTCTGGTGGAGTTCAGACTGGATATCTGTAGTTTCATGTTAGCTGAGTTATATTATAGACCAGGACTCCATATGAGTATTTAGCAGCGTGTGGACATGTGACACGCCGTACAAGGCCGTGGGGCGACCCAGAGTCAGGGAGCTTTTTCTTACACAATGTGTCCACCGGTTCTTCTTCGCGGCGACGCTTGATATTGATCTGCTCTGGAGGTAAGGCCATCCTGGAGCCGTAGAAGTTTCCGCAAGAGCCAAAAATGTAGGATTGAAGAATTGAACAAGATTGATGACAGGGAAGGAAAACAAAGACTGATGGGATCGCCCTTCAGCTTGAGCTTCATGGATCGTGCCAAATATGGATTAGCGTCGATGCAGGCGGAGTTGATCTCACGTGATATAACAGTCGTTGATGTCTCCCTACTTAAGACGTGCTGGATCTAAGTTATATGACTAGCCTGAAGGTGACATCATGTCTAAGCTTATTGCTTTTACTGAGACGAACCATTCGTTTGATTTCATTTTTGTTAATTCTTGTCCCATATCTTTCATCATCCAATGGCTTGCAATCGCCCTTGCCATCGTGGACCATGACGTCCACAGCTATATAACCCTTGTCCGTATCCAACATGCAACGTGGGTGAGCCGTTTGCTTGGCTTGAATTCGTTGAAGTGGCACCAAGAATGCAAATAGGGGGAATGAAACGTCCAAGGACAAGCCAGAGCCGAACCAGTCCAGGGTATCAGCCGACGTCTCATCCCGCTCTCTCGTAGCGCACTGAAAGTCAGCGGCCGGGAACGGCTCAAAAAGGTGAGAAACAAAATAAAAAGTCAGAGGTAGAAGACAGATATTAAGAAGATCCTGCCCAGATAGCAATACAAGTGATGATATCAAGAAGGTATTAAAATGTTATAAGAGGGCATGGCTGAGAAGAGGAGAAAATATTTGAACAGAATAACCAAAAGGTGATGCAACCACATAATTAACCAAACCAATACAGAGAAGGAAGCGCAATGTTGACGATGGAGAATGTAAAGAAAAAGTTTTGGTAGAACGACATTCATAGAACTGAACAGCGGGATGGATCACTCAGATACGAGGAAGACAATTATTTTGCACCGATTTCCTCTTCAGCCCAGCCGGGCAGCGAAGATTCGTTCTGAATAGCCAGCCCAAATCCCGCGTGATTCAGTCCTCCCAGGGCCGAGGAGAAGCTGGAGAAACTTGCTTGAGGCTGGTGAGCGACACCTGAGCGGCCATGGCCGGGGTGGCTCGAGACAGGGCCAAAGGGCTCCTGGGAAAACGAGGGTAAGCTCACGGTGCGAGAATGCTGCCCACGAGGCACACTCAAACTGCTGGTGCTGGCAGTTGCGTGATGGCTTGGCCCTGAGGAGCCATTGGTCACGTTCAAATATCCACTCGAGGGCTTGTGTTGGTGCATGGGGCCCTCGATGCTTCCGTTCGTGAGCTCACTGCTGCTGGTAGCGTTGTAGTACGACTGTTGTTGGGCCTGGGGTTGCGATTGCGATTGAAGGGCGGCCAGAGCCATCGGGTCATTCAGTCGGTTCTCCTGCTCCTGAGCCTGCTGCTGAGCGGACATTTGGTTCAGATACATAGTCAGCGGGTTGTTGGCGCCCACGTTCAGGATACCGGACGGCGAGGACACGGTTTGCAGAGGGTGACGGTTCTGCTGATGTCCGTTTTGAGAGCCAGTCGAGCCGGGAGCAGGTGACAGGGCATGGCGAGTGGGACTCGACTGGGAGCCAGATTGGCTCAGATTTGGTTGAAAGTTGTTAAGTGCAGGGGGCGGAGACTGCGCTCCCTCGAGACCAGCTCCATTCCGGCCATGCTGTCCACCATTGCCAGTCTGACGCGGGGGGTTGCCGCAACGATCCTTGCCAAAGTTGATCTTGAATCGCTTGTACTCCTCGCGGTTGCGCATTCCCTCAATCGCTTTAATCGCATTGGCAATGTTGGTAAAGTTGACAAAAGCGCAGCTCTTCTCACGCAATGTGTTCACCAACTCGATCTCGCCGTACTCGGAGAAGTCCTGACGGAGGCGTTCCTCTGTCCACGTCTCGTCGAGGTTGCCGACATAAACATTGCGGGAAGCCCCGCCACTCACTGCCAGTGCAATGGCGGGAGGTAGAGGGCCGGAATGCTTGCCCCAGCCAATCTTCAAGCGGCGATTGTGAATCATCAGGCCCTGAAGGTTGCTCAGCGCGTAGAAGGAGGCGGCTGAGGTTGGATCAATGAAGGTCACGAAACAGATGTGCTTGTCAGGGATGTATCGGATATGGTGCAGCAGTCCGCCCCGGACCACGTTGCAAATCTCCTCGATGGTGGTTTCCGGGTGGATGTTGCCCAAGTAAATGGTCCTGTTCCCTAGATTGTTGACGCCGCCCGCTGAGGTAGCCACGGCAGCGGCAGCGACAGACTGTTGAGCGAGAGCGTTGGTGATCAGATCGCGGTCTGCGGAGTTCAGAATATGCGCATAGCCAGGCGCGATTCCCAAGAATTGTGCCGCATTTTGCTGCTGTGTCTTGGACACGTATGCGCAGCGATCCTTACCATAGAAGACGCGTCTCGGGGCCTGCCATTTGGCTTCTTGGGGCAACTGGGAAACGGCCTTCATTGCGTTGCTGATCGACAAGAAGTGTACAAAGCCAATCGCTTTTTCCCTCACGATCTTGACGGTGTCAATCGGCCCGAATTTACCGAGTTCCTCGCGCAGCTCATCTTCCGTCAACTCTTCGGGAAGGTTGCCCAGATATACATTGCGCGAGGCACCGGATTGCTGAACCGCCAGCGCCACCGAGGTTGGAACCTGGGACGGCTTGCCCCATCCCACTTTGATGTCATTGCCCTTGATGGCCAGCTTCTTCAGGATAGCATCCGAATGGAAGTGGGTCGCCGAGTTGCTGTCCAGGAAGGAGATGAAGGCACAGTTCTTATCTGGAAGCAAGCGAACCGACTCGATCTGTCCACTGCGTACATGGTTAAGAATCTCCTCCGCGGAGGTTTCGGCGGGAATGTTGCCCAGGTACACGGTCCGGCTCGTGCCCGAGAGGAGACCAGGGGTTACTGCCGCTGCGGGACTGCCAAATGCCGCATTACCAAGGCCTCCCAGACCACCAATTGGAGACTGCGGGCCGTTCAACAAGTGAGAGTTCGCCAAGCCGTCGGTTGACATCATTCCTGAATACAAACCGGCGTTCGGTGCGGCCTGGGTTGGGCTTCCCAACTGGGTTTGATGATTTTGTGCATGTGCGGAGGCATTGGCTTGGGTGAAGCCACCGAAATTAGCGAACTGCGGCGAAGCGAAGGCGGAGGGAGTTCCAGGCTGGAATGGACTGCCAAGCAGAAGCTGTGAAGGGAGGAGAGGTGTGAAGTTCATGTCGAATGCCGTGCCGGAGTTTGCCATGCCGTCCGAGAGGTTCGAGGCCGGGTTAGAGGTATTGATGTGAGGGATGTTGGGACGACGAGCGTTCCGATCCGCGAAACCCTGAACTGGAATATTGGAATTGTACGCGCCGTGGGAGAACCCCGTATTGTCCGCGTTCAGCGAAGAGAATTTGGAATGCATCAAACGGTTCGAGATACTCGAGGCATCGGCGGTTTGCATGGCGAGGAGAAACGATATAGACACGGGTGATTGCCCCTAAAACAGGAAGAGGTAGGAGGGGTTCGATTTGCTTGAAGCGGCCAATATCACCAGACCAGGGCAAAAGAGGATTAGTACCAGGCGATATCAACGATCAGAGACCGTAGAAAGCCACCGGTCTGAAGATCAGCCCCGTTAAGAAGAAAAGGGGCAATGGGAATTGAGCAGGGGAAGAAGAAGAGAAGTGAAAGAAGGTTGGAAAGCGAATATGATTCAACGAAGAGAAGAAATCAAGTGATCGTTATCCGAAAGCAAAAGACAAAAAATCCAACCAAGGAAGGGAGAAAAGACCAAGGATCTCCAAAGGAGACGTGTTGAGAAGGGATTTCAATGGTCAATTGGAATGTGCATGGATTGGCAGCAGAGAATGAATGCCGCAATAACAAAAGGCCAAGAAAGGGGAATGGGATATCAAGAGAAATTAGTTTAGTACAAGAAGAGAATAGTGAGAAATGGAGAAGAGAAAGAAGAAGAGTAACTGACGAAGCAGATACTCTTAGTAAGTCTGTATGGAGCAAAAGAAGTAGAAGAAAAAAAGAAAAGGAGTGTCTAGTTTAGATAGTAGATAGGGGATGAGGGAAAAAAACAAAGCGAGGACGGAGGAGTGACTTTAGTGAGGGCGGAGAGAAAAGGAGAGTGAGAGTAGGTCTCCTGCTCCCGTAGCTAGTTGGTCTAAAGCTAGTAGTGGTACTAGTAGTAGTCTGGAGTATGGAGTAAGGTAGTTCACTAGATAGTTTTAGGGTAGCATTGAAGGGAAATAATTAGTCCATCTTTTGTAGGAGACTAAAAACAATGTGGGTATGAGGATGTTTGAACGCTTGAAGATGCAACCGAAGAAGTCAATCAGTGTCCGTGGCAGAAAAGGGACAGATCATAGGTACTTACAACGAGCTACAGAGAAGAGACAGTACTATCCGTAGATTAGAATACAGTAAATGAATGACCAGAAGGAGAGACGAGCAAGAATAACAGAAGAGAGGGTAAAAAGGGGGTTGATGGTGGTGTTGGTGGTGATGATGATGGGGAGGAATAAGAGCAAAAGTGACTGGTGTCCTCATTTATTACTCTCTGATGATCCATCAAGCCATTATTGAAGCAACTGTCGAATATCTACTAGTAGTAATTTTTTGTGGATTTCCTTCTAAGCCGCCCAAAATTACCGGTCACGGCCTTCTCAAAGCAATCTTAGACCTGATGGGGCTGAATCTACAGAGTAGAAGCAACAACTATATACATCGAATCAAGATGTCTTGAGTCGTGAGGGAGGGAAAGACAGATGATTAGAAAAGGGGATATATACTAAGAATAGGGGAATTTGTGGAGTAAACATGGTAGGGCAGGTCAGTCCATGGCGCATCGGCACCATCATCCATGGATATGAGGCTAATAAAGGAACAGAACTCAATGGGGAAGATGATAGCCTTTTAAGCCTCTGTCAGTCGCACATACATTCCCAACTCTCAAGCCATGAGGAATCCAATAATTGGCGCATTACGCAAGACGTTCAATTTACTCACTATTTCTGAGTTCAGCTGCAAAATCATGATGGGACCACAGATAGTAGGGTCCAGCATATTTGCTTTTGTTGTCCCTGACTTGGGGCGAAAAAGATGAGCGATATATATATGGTCAGTATGGCTACTCCATAAGCTATTGACCGACTAAATCCGACCATGGAATTAATTCAACTAAGATGTCACGGGAGAAATGCATGTTGAGATGTGTCTCTTTACAGTGGACAAGATCAACTTGCCTTATTATTGTGGAAACATGGGTCCGTTCCTGAATCTTGCAAGGAGAGATGTCCGGACCACCTATTGATCCGGGACTCTGCAGGATCAGGATTTACTGTGTTAGGATTAGCTGCAAGGAGAGGATTCCGCTCACTGAGGCTTGGCAGGGAAAAGGGAACTGAATGTGAAACGTACTATCCAGCAAATCGAGCATCACAAGTTCAACACAGACCAAACGCTAGAATCAATCTACTATCTATAGATAGATAGAGAGAGGACGAGATATGTTGGCAGATCAGCGTCCAGACCAGTGAGAACGGAATTTAGGTTGAAGGGGAGGGATTAGTGGAGATACGAGACAATCTTTCCTGATGCCATAGTTCGCTATTGAAGTAGCCATCGAACATATGCTCTCTTTGAAAGTCATCCAAATCTAGCCTACATATAGAAATTGTTTGAAAACATTATCAAGCCAACCGAATGTGAAGAGACTCGTCCGACTCGTAGTTAACTGTAAGGCACCTTAAGTAAGCATGTCAATTTGCCGAATTGGGAGGAGTTGGTGCCTGAGGCCTGTATGGAAGTGTCCGCTATCATCGCAATAAAAATTACCCCTCCAAAAAGTCCCGCAGTAGAGAAATCCCCAGACATTGTGCGGTTTTCTTTGCTCTTCTCTCTGGAGGGACTCGGTGTGTGTGGTATAGACGATCTCGTTCGCCCAATCTGAAAAATATATAACTTGTGAGTACAATCTAATTCGTTTCGAACAATCCCTCCGGTGCACCAAATCCCTTATCTTTTCTCCGTGCGGTTGCATTTTGTGACTCACCCGAACGAGGGTGGTGATTGAGCTGGCATGATTTCACGAACAACTCAAACAATTGGGGACCTTTTTCTCCAGATCACTTTCTAATCTAACTGAATAAGAACAATCAGATTGCAAAATGGCCACCATCTACATCGACGAGGACGTCGGCCGGGACGATTCGACCGCGACCGGTTCTGAATCGGCCCCCTACAAGACTCTTGTCCATGCATACCTCCAACACCCCCCCGCCGAGGGCAATCAATACTTGATGCGCAAATCTCAGACGGATGCCCCCGGAGAGGACGTTGACCCAGCCGCCAAGTTGGAGTGGAAGCCAGCGACCAAGTCGGCCACAAAGAAGGCGCTCAGCATTGTCGAGCAGCGGAAGAAGAAGGCAGCCAAGGAGCAGGAATTGGCCATTCGCGAGAAGCAGGAAGCTGAAAAGCGTCAGAAGGTTCTGGAGGAGGCCAAGAAAGTTGTCATCACAGAAGATCCCTCTTTGCCCAAGCCTGTGCGAATTCGCCTGGATGTCACCGACCCTGCTATCGTCAAGCTTGGATCCCCCGAAACACAAACTGCAGGCACTCGTGTCCGTGTGCTGGGACGAGTCCATCGCCTGCGCGTCCAGAAGGATGTGATCTTCCTGACTCTTAGTGACGGCTACGGCTACTTGCAGTGTGTTCTGACGGGAAACCTGACAAAGACCTACGACGCCATGACTCTCACTCTCGAAACCTCCATGGCCATCCATGGAGAGATGCGCGCGGTGCCTCCCAAGCAGCATGCGCCCAACGACCGGGAACTGCATGCGGATTTCTTCACCGTCATTGGCCGCGCTGCCGGTGACAAGGAGGCCATCACCACCCGTGTGGCCAAGGATGCCGACCCGCAGACCCTTTACGACAACCGTCACCTCGTCCTGCGTGGAGAGACCTCCTCGGCTGTGATGAAGGTGCGCGCCGCCTGCCTCAAGGCTTTCCGTCAGGTATTTGAGGAGAAGCGCATGCTGGAAGTGACCCCGCCTGCCATGGTGCAGACGCAAGTCGAGGGTGGCAGCACCCTGTTCAAATTCGACTACTACGGCGAAGACGCATACCTCACCCAATCCTCCCAGCTCTACCTGGAAACCTGCCTGCCCTCTCTGGGTGACGTTTTCTGTGTCTGCCCTTCCTTCCGCGCCGAAAAGTCCCTCACCCGTCGTCATCTGTCCGAGTACACCCACATCGAGGCAGAGCTCGACTTCATCACCTTCACCGACCTGCTCGACCACCTCGAAGAGGTCATCTGCCGGGTCATTGAGCTGACCCTCGCCGACCCCGCCACCGCTGCCCTCATCAAGCAGCTCAACCCCGACTTCAAACCTCCCAGTCGCCCCTTCCGCCGCATGAAGTACGCCGACGCCATTCAGTGGCTGGTCGAACATGACATTCCCAACGAGGAGGGCAAGCCCCACCAGTTCGGTGACGATATCGCCGAAGCTGCCGAGCGCAAGATGACCGACATCATCAACCAGCCCATCTTTCTGACCCATTTCCCCGCCGAGATCAAGGCCTTCTACATGAAGAAGGATCCTGAAGATCGCCGCGTCACCGAGAGTGTCGACGTCCTCATGCCTGGTGTCGGCGAGATTGTCGGTGGCAGTATGAGAATGGACGACTGGGACGAACTGATGGCCGCCTACAAGCACGAGGGAATGGATCCCACCCCGTACTACTGGTACACCGATCAGAGAAAGTAAGTTTGCCTGCCACTCTACGTCAGAATCTACGGCTAATCATTGCTCTAGGTACGGCACATCCCCTCATGGTGGATACGGTCTCGGTCTCGAGCGGTTCCTCGCTTGGTTGTGTGCCCGCTACACAGTCAGAGACTGCTGTCTGTATCCTCGTTTCACCGGTCGTTGCACACCTTGATATTGTATACGACTTCACATAGACATATCAGAATATTTATGAATCTCATTTGATATCAGTCTCATCTTCTATACTCGTGTTTCCGTAGACCCTCCCTTGCACTTCAGCCTTAGGTGCGGTTTAGTAACAGCATGTGCAAACGAGTCCGCTGGTTTTGCACGATTCACTAGACCATTTAGAACGTTTATGAGCTCCTCCTCGATATGGACAGACCAGCTGGCTTCCGAACAACGCCGAGAAGGTTCCCCTCGCAACGGCACTTATGCAACAAGACATCATAGTGGAAAGCAGGATAATCCTGACTTCGTTTCAGTTCATTGATTGGCACCCTGTAAAGCACCAGATACATGAAGTGTATATATATATAGACTCAAAATAGACAGGCAAGACAGGGCACAGCCTAGGTGGATTCAAAGGATCAAGCGGAGCTGAGACCACGTTTATGGAAGACTCTGCATTCGCATTTTTAGAAAGTAATGTACTTCTGTTTTCGCTGATCATCCACGGTGATTGGCAATTCGCCCCAATCCTTCAAACCCCGACCTCATATCCCAACCATACGAGTGATGGCATTATCAATCGTGTCTAGCTGCATAGGGGCCTGCATGAACGGCATTATGATCTCCAGCGTTCGGGGTTAGAGAATCAAAATGCCTGGAATGTAACTTTTGGGAACCGTTCGGCAGCCGTTGCAGAATAGCAGAGAAGATCAATAGGTATCGAGTGAATGGACAGCCATATACTGCACCAGCTTGTGTATCAGTCAACAAAAGATCAGGAATCCCAAATACTAATGGATACCGTTTCTCCCAGGTTCAGCGCATACGGAGCCCTTCGACGGAAATGTCTTTAGATTCGAACATCTTCCCTATGAGGGTTTGTGGACAGTGACCACGGTCGGTTCGATTTCACGAAGAGCGAGAGCGAGAACAATAAAGATAGACACAGGGAAAACTGCCCGAAGTAGACAAGAGCACGCCACTTGAGTACAGGCCTCCCATCGCTCAGTCCTATCATTTGTTACCCCTGTTCCCCTCTTGATCGTGACGGCTGTTGTTCGAAATTTCGGATAATGTTTTGAGGATTTCTTCCTGGGAGGCCCCGGAACGGATGACAGATATCATGCGAGAAACGGTTTCCTGGTCACCATGACGAACCAACCCCAGAAGCTGCTGAAGGAAGTTTGTATAATATTCTGTGTCCTCGATGCGTCCGTCCTGGGACTGAGATTGTGCGATGGCGGCTTCAAGCTCGAGGTGCTGGCTACGCTGAGCGTTGGGATCATGCCTAACATCAGTCAACATTTAGCAACCACATAAAGTGTGGCTCAAGTAGGTATAACATTCATGAATAGGAACGGATATTGGATGCTTAAAAAGGCTGGGCCTCCCACCTTTGCTCTCCATTCTCTCGTGTTCGGTTGTTTTGACGCTCCATGCCGTTGAGACTTTCTCTTATTAACCCTCTTTATCTGTCATGAACAACGTCCCGGTTCTGTTGTATGTTACACGGCGTTTGGCAGTCACTCAATGTGAAGAGATCAAAACAAGGAATAGGCTGAATAGCTTCGCGACAACGTTCAGGGACCTACAAGGATTCCCAGGACCTGGATGTTTGTTGAGGTGACAAAGTGCCAATATGCGTGAGAAGCCGATCACCCCCTCTTCTCTCGTGGACCACGGAGTCAGTCTGTGAGAGGTTAAGGCTGAATTAAGCGCTGAATTAAGGCTGAATGATTGGTGTTCGTCCCACGCAATCGAATCCCTGGCAAAGATCGAGAGTGAAGTCTAATCCTCTCTCTCTCCACTGTGGCATGACAGACTGTAGAGACCCGATAAGACGTAAATAGCGCCCGCCAGGTGAGCTTAAAATGACACGAAGGAAAAAGGTATATCTTAGCTAGTGTCCGCGGTGAGGGCGAGTAGCCAGGAGTTACCCGCGCGGAAAGACCTGGAACATTACCAGAGCTTCTGGAGGCTGGGGGGTCCTTGACGCGCCGTGAGCCAAAAATACGCTATTGCGCGAATGTATGACATGGAATATTCGATATGGGTTCCCTTCTTCCTCCATGATTGGAAGAGTCGAGAAAGGAACAGGAACACTTTGCTCTGTGCAAGTCCGCATTTCACAATCCTATCTCTCCCTAATCATGCCACCTGAAGCCGTGAAGTAATTATCTCGCGTAAATGTAGACGCGATTGAAGCTTTCACCGGATCTTGTCACCAGAAAAACCTCTGCGCGAGAATGTACTTCCGTCTTCAACTAGTCCGTGCTGTACGGCGACTCGGTAATCCCTACCAGCCAATCTCATGGCCCGGTCAGTCTCCGCTACCCATCAACCTAGGCCAGCCAGCAAGACAGCAATTCACAAATTGGCTTGCTTGCTCTCTTCATGATCTGCGTCGTCTTCGGTTATTTCAGAGATGTAAGTCAGTCTCCAGTTGCGCACAATCATCACCTGCTGCCATCAGGGCTCGGCTTGGAGAGCTTAACCAACCGAGTCACCCCGACTGATAGCCGCTAAGAAAGGAGATGACAGGGAGAGAAGTCCTTTTGTGTAAGCTTTGCCACCTACAGTCTCGCAAGAATGTTCAGTGCTCATGCCAAGCGACATGCTCCGAACGCAAGTGCCGAAATACTCCAGTTTACTCGAAGCAGCGTCGATCTCGTCGTCTGATCGCCCCGTCACTCAGGCTCATATCCCAGGATAGTCTGTTGAGTGTTGCTATGCCCTTGGGGTCCACAAAGATACCGCTCAACATCAGTGCTCAGGCTCTTGCAAGCTGACAGGCGGCAATATACCTTGCTGCGGTGAAATGCTGCCAGCTCAGACCACAACACTGTCTGTCTCTGGATTGTTTATACTGCAAGCATGGATGCCGCAGAGAAGGGGAAGGCCGCGGTAGCAGTCTAAATGCGTTCCTTGCCCTCTTCTCCTCACTGGTTGAAGGTTACCTAAGTGGTCGCCATCATAACGTGGGCCACGCCCCAGTCGGCAAAATATTCGGTGACCGTCGTGAACCATGATCAGGGGGAGACATGTTCATTGAATGACATATCAGGTCAATTATACCACCGGACATGTCCGGTGGATGTTACTTCGGGGGAGCATTTGACTTTGTAAAGATACACGAAGTGGCCGGCGGGTGGCTGCTACTGGAGACCAGCTCTAGCATACAACCCTGTCGTTTTTATCTCTGCAGTTTCCGCTATTTTTTCCGATCCATGCGGAAAGGCTTGGGTGCGTGCCATGTCTTTCGCTCCGAGTCGATCGATACGAGAGTGGAGTCCCGGATGGTTCACGGTCTTTCGACGGTATCAAAGGTCACCAAATCAGCCTGCATGGACAAGATAAATGAGAACTAAGAAATAGGCTGTTCATGGACGACCATATTTCTCATGTCTCAGAAGCCTAACTTTTAATGCCAGCGGTGTAGTCACCTCAGGGGCGTACCAGATGCATCACTGATAACCTTCATGCACAATGCATGATCGAATACGACGAACTCTGAAGGTAAGCTTCGACATTTGACAGCCAAATGCGTGTTGCAAACCCATGGGGAGTACGCGTAGTGCATATGGTGGTGGGTGCTACGAGAATGTCAAGTGTCGACTGCTGCGTGTGATCGTTTCTGCCTTCCGCTTCCGCAACTGGGTGTCACAACATCGATAGTAGAATTCAGGGTCGAGGAGGGAGATCGGTCGCTTGGTTACAGAGTGGATGTTGTCTTGAAAGGTCAAAGCATGCCTTCGTTGGCTTGAGGTTGACTCTGAATCTCTTGTGAACGGTATCGATGAGATGAACGCACGGTATCGTACGACTCGAGATTGGAATGACGTCCCAGAATGTGTGGCTACTGGACATATTTGTGGCTGCAGTCGACTGACTCATCGACTGCTAGCTCCCGGAATCGACAATACTTTCGCTTCGTGTCTGCTTCTTGGATCTGGGATAGGCCTTTAGGGAGGGAATTATGGAATCCATCCTGGCGTCACATCGGTCTTCGTCTCACTTAGTTCGTTGAGGTCGATTTTCTCTCTTCTTGAGTCTTCCCGGACAGATTCAAGACGAGACGGCTTCGGAAGGTCTATTGTTCTCTATGATCGATACGAGTCATTTGGTGACAGAATGAAGCAGGGAATCGGTATTTTCCATCCGAAAAATATATGCGGGCCAGTTCTCGCGGTTTCCGATGGGTATCAGCAGAAGCCTGCTAGAAGCGAAAGAAGAAAAGGGGAGAAAGGTCCACGACAAGAGTTCATCCTCTGGCGCCGATTGGCGCCAGCCGGACCCAAAGAGACGACGGAAAATAGATCCTGAAGCCCATGCTGCGGCTCCACTTGACGCCTGGTCGCCAGCGTGAACCAGCAAACTCAACCAACAGGCAGTTCTTTCTGATGCAACAGTTTCTAGCTAGAACTACTATTCCTGGCCAGGAATGATGCAGTCGTTGGGAATTTGCAACGAAGTTCGTCGCTGATAGAAGGTGCGGCTTGTGCAAAGCCATTGCTGTAAGCGAGTTAGCGTGTCGAACTCTTGCGCAGGGACTTGGGCAAAGGCAATAAATGGTTCTGCACTCGATATTTTGCGCGAGTCAGACCCATGGTACTCAGTACGGCTTGAAAAATCAATAGCTCAGGTGTTCTAAACCGCCTGGTTCTTGACGTACTTATGTCGTAGATCTGCCACTGCCTACGAGTACGGTATGTGCTACTGCGTGGCTTCTTTCCTGGATGAAACTGATCCGCTGAGTGAGAGCATTATTTATCGGGCAGGCACGTTACTAAAGGCTGTCTTTGATTGAGCACCCTCTTCCACGACTCATGAGGATTTGCTTCGCAACTGGATAAGTCTAGGGGCCGAGCTACTGGGCCGGTTCCTTGGATATCCCTAAATCCAAGTGGGTTGCGACTGGAGGGCCTATGACCCAATTGTTTGCCCGGATGTTTTTTCCGGAAACTCCAATTAGTCATGGGCGCTGGTTGACTACGAAGAGAT